CAGCTTAATTGTGTCACAAACATGAGCTTTTCCTCTTTACTTCTTGACCACCATGTGGCCCATCTTTCCTCCTACATGGGCCCCCGCCAGGAGGCAGAGACCCGCCACAGACCTAGAGGCAACTGGACCAAGAGACCCTGAACCAAAACCTCTAAAACCTGAGCTGAAAATAAATCTTTCTTCCTAGAAGTTAATTTCTCTTCAGTATTTTGTCACAATGGCACAGAGCTGACAAGCTAGCAAGGACAGTTCCATTCTGACACAGAGTGAATGGATTCACATTGGGAGACTCTAGAACAGTGCAAGCCACCTGGTAAAGAACACAAATGTCTGCTTGTCTGCCTTCCTTCCTTCCTTCCTTCCTTCCTTCCTTCCTTCCTTCCTTCCTTCTTTCCTTTTTTCCTTTTCTTTCTTCCTTTCTTCCTTTCTTCCTTCCTTTCTGTTAACAGCAACTTTGTTGTACAGCTGACAAGTTGTAATTGTGATGAATTTCATACTAAATTTATAGCAGTGGGGTTACACATAATCACAGTCCTTGAATAGAAATCAAAGATGGCTAAGGGCAGGGCGCTCAGGGCAGAACAGGTGGAAGATGAATCTGTACATTTTGAAGGGCGAGCCAAGGGGGACCGGCAAGGGCTGAGTACTGGTGTGAAAAACAGGAATGACTTCAACATGTCTGGCCACGGTACCCGAAGGTCATAGGTACTGTTTACTGAGACAAGGAAGGCCTCAGGAAAGGTCGACCTGAGAGAAGAACATTGGGTGTTGGATGTGTTAAATTTAAGTTGTCTGAGGATATAACAAGGAAAGGTGCTAAGAAGGGAGTAGAGTATATCTAAAATTCAGGGGAGGGACCAACATGTGGTGGCTGTTCGGGGTCTGGGGTTGGATGAGATCACTAGGAAATAGACCTTGGTGGGAAGAGAACAGATGTTCAACAGCTGCTGTCCAGGGATGGAGAAGGAGTAAGGAAACTAGCAAGGAAGGTTGGAACTCACTGTGGTTTCATGACAGCCATGGGGTGAAAAAAAACAGTAAGAGGCAAAAGCAGCAGTCTAATAGTATTGCCACTACTACAGATACTCAAAAAGACTGGACATAGAAGACCGTCCATTACATCGCCAATGGGGAGACCGAGTTAACCCAGAGAGAGGATGAGAGGATGGAGGTCGATTGAAATGAGTTCAAAGGGAGTTGTGAGAACAAGCATGGGAAACAGGGGTAGCAGACCAGAGGGCTCAACTTCCCCTACCCTGGCATGAGACTCCCCCGAGGGTCCCGAGGAGCAGTCAGTTCACAGCAGCAGAAGGAAAAGGCTGGTTCAGGGGCAGATGCAGAGGTGGGCCATGTGGGAGGGAGAGATCGTGCATGGCCCTCTGAGTGCTGCCACTTTCCCAGGGAAGTCGGAAAGCAGCTCTGGGCATCAGCTCAGGTGAACTGAAGGAGAAGCTGGGGGTTCAAGAATGAGATACTCCCCACAAGGGTTTAGGAATGAGTGTGCAAGTGCAAGGTAGTAAGACTTCTGAGCAAGTCAAAAGGCTGACTGGAGGCGGTAGTCATGTTCCTGACCACAGCCAGCAGGGCTGTAAGAGTTTTTCTAGAAATGTTCGGATGTCTGAGTGCACACAGATGTGGCAAGTAGGATAAAGGCGGAGTTGGAGGTCTGCAAGGCCAGCACGATGAAGCCACAGAGGGACTAGAAAGGGGAAGCTGAAGACTAGGGTGTGATTATGATGATGCTGAAGCAGGAGACAGACTACACTACTTGGAAGGCTTCAAGCATTCTTTACCTAGGCTAGTGACTGATGCTCTCTTAGAAACTCGTAGAAGAAAGAATGGAGAGGGGAAGACAAGATCTCAAGTAAAAGCTCATCATTTTCCTCTGGGAACTATTTGATGTCTATGATAGGATTTAATTTGATAGGATGGGGAAAGTAAACACAAGATTAAAGATGAGGGTAGCAAAGAGAGAGAGAGAGAGAGAGAGAGAGAGAGAGAGAGAGAGAGAGAGAGAGAGAGAGAGGTGATAGGGTCACTGTTCTGCTGTGGATGCAGTGAGACTAATGAATCCAAGGAGCTGAGCACTGGAGGGAGGTTACTGGACAGAAAGGAGGTGGTGCTCAGATGCAAACATGCTTCCAACTGGGACAGAGGAGCTGTGACGCCATGACAAAGACTAAGACTGTGAGAGCAGGATGCAATGAGGCAACGTCACTGGGGAAAAAGATCAAAGGAACCAAGAGCCCAGGGCACAGGGACAGACACACACAAGGACACAAGAGTCACTTAGGGTGTATGGGAAGTGTATGGAGAAGGGGGTACAGGAGAAAGAGGCAGTGGAGGAGCTAAAGTCTTCCTGGAACAAAAGGACTCGCTGGGACCCTGTAGACGACTGTAATCTGGAGCAGCACTAGGATTTTGTAATGACACCTGGGTGGTGAACACCTGTAATCCCCACACTCAGGAGGCAGAGGCAGAGGGAGGGAGAACTCAGGGCCAGCCTGGACTACATAAAAAGACCCTGGGAAAGAAAGAACTAGAGGGAAGATGGGGGGATGGAAGGAGAAAGATGGCAGAAAGAAGAGGAAAAGGAAGGGAAGGTTAGAGGATTTTTCTGATGCTAAGATGTAAGTTCTAGACCAGTGGTTCTCAAAATGTGGGTCATGACCCCTTGGGTTGTATATCAGATATCCTGCCTATCAGATATTTACATTATGATTTATAACATTAGCAAAATTACTATTATGAAGTAGCAATTGAAAATAATGTTATGGTTGGGAGTCTCCAAGCAGATGACAGTACTGAGTGCTGAGGGGACAGGTATGGATGAGGTAACATCACTGACTCTACCGCTCCCCAATTTCCTCACTAGCCAACTCTAATCAGATTTCTAACTCCATCACCCTTCTGAAATTGTCCCCTTTAAGGTCATGTTCCAAAACCAACGGCTGGCTCTTCCTCCGCCCTCCCCTTCTGTGACTCCCAGCACATCCTGTCCAAACAACGCCACCTTCCTTCCGAAAGCAGTTTTGTTCCCACTGCTCTGCCTCTTACCTCCTCAGTCAACTCTCCTCACCTCCTTTACGTCCTCCCCCTCCAGTGCTACATTCCGAAAGACTAAGGTCCTCAGTCCCTGGGCCACTGATGTGCCTTCTCGGTTTCACCTCCCAGTACACCTGCTTAGCTGAAAGCAGTTCCCACGTCCACGCCAGGTAGGTGTCTGGGACCAGATCCTGATACCCCTCCATTAGCAAAGGTGATCTTGGTGAAATACATCAAAGTTTTTTACACATTGCTTGTAACAAGTGGAGCTTGTTTTACATTGAGTATTGTAGGAATCCTCACATCAGGACACAAGACAGGCATTGGGTGACATGAACAATGTTTATGCTCTGCAAACTTCCTTGAGTTTTTCAGAGTCGTATTATAAAGGTATGACAGAGATACAGAATAAAATGCTTCTCTTTGCTTCCTTGGTTGACATAGGGGTCTGCTAGGTAGCCCTGACTGATCTAGCACTGATTATATAGCTCACCTAGAACTTGAAGTGCCTTTGGCTTCAGCCTCCTGACTATTGGGTATACACCATGATATTTGTGAATATGAACAAATACCAACTGCCATAGCCATCTACTTCTTCCTCCTTAGTTTCCAAACTGAGTTTCCAAGACTCACTTAGGTGACCTTGAGTCAGTCCTCAGTATCTCAACTCTCACACTAGTTGGCCAAGACATCTCAATAGCCCATTGAGGTAAGAAATACTATGGGAATGAATGAAAGGCATCGTGCCTTCTGGGTAAAACCCAGAGATTCTAGTGTCAGCACGGTGGGAAGCAAATCCCTCATCAATGTTGAACTGCAATAACAACACAATTATTATCAAGTGGCCTGAGAAAGTCGCTTCCCTGTGCTTATTGGCTAAATATGCATGTAATTATACCTACCTCATAGTCTCAGTGAGGAGTTAGTACATGCAATGTGTTTCCTGCACTTAAAGAGTTATGGGTTTTAAAGACTAACAGAACCGAGAGGTGAATAATGCCATTCATTAAATGGTGGTTGCACTCAGCTCCTGCATCTCAGGAGCTCATCACAAATTAGGGCTAATGAATGGATGAACAAACTAATAAATATTAAAATCCACATGAAACAGAGTATCCAATCTGGGGGGCGGGGCGCATGCGCACATACACACTTTCCTTCTTTCCTATGGAAGTCAAGCAGGTATATTCAAATACAGATGCTGCCACTGAAAATGCCTGTTTCTAGTCGCTTGACATTAACACTTCCATCTCAGGTAGGAAGAAAGACATAAAGACCACAGAACATGCGAACATGCACAACAAACTGGTTTAGAGAGCAAAACTAAGTCCTTATATGGTGTACAAGACTGAGACAAATGAAAACTACATGGAATACTACCTTCCTTTAAGTCATGACTCCTGGAAATAGTAAAACAAAACAAAATTCCCAAGCAGCACGCCTCCAAGCCAGCCTAAGTCAGAACAGAAACTCTCTGTCCTACGGAAAGAGAAGAGATGAAGCCATGGGTGGCCACACAGCTTGGTAATTCTCTTCCCTCCCCTCTGAGGAGAGACTTGCCCCAAATATGATTGTCCAAGGATGGAGAAAGAAAAGGGAGGGCCGTTCAGTTCCTAAAGAAAGCACGACACGGGTGGTTCAAGTTGCCATCCATCCTATACGGCTTGCAGAGACAGACCCAGTTTCTTCTCCCTAGGAGCTTAAACGGGTTAGCTGGGCAGTGGAAGCCCAAGTTTGACCCTTACTTGATGGACCCAATAACATTCAGAGTAGCCCACAAGGTGGGCAGTATGATCACTGGCTGGCTGAACACAGCGACCTCATCCAGAGGGTGCTACTCCTAGGTTAGTGGACACAGAGACAAATGCCTCTCCCTCTCCTCCCCGGCCTCTCCCGCTCCTCCCCAGCCTCTGGGTCCACCCTGTCCCCAGTGCCCACCCACTTGCCATACTCACTCCCACTCCTTTCGTCGGGCCTGCGGGGTACTCTGCATCTTGTGTGCTTCGTGGGCCTTGATGATGTCCCGCTGCTCGATGAGACCCCCGCGTCTCCGCTTCATGACCTCTGGACTCACGGGGAGGAAGGTGCTGGAGCCTGCATCCAGCGTGGTGCTGCCCTCCCAGCCCGGGCCCTCGCCCTCCTGCACCGGGAAGAAGTTGTCGAAGCTGGCCACCGCAGAGCGCGGGGAGGCGGGCAGCATGCCCACCTCGTCGGAAGCATCGGCCTCGAGCAGGGCACACTGCTGTGGCCGCCATGCCTCCTCCTCGGGCAGGGCCAGGACGTGGCGACGCCGGCCAGCAGCCCCAGGCTCAGGGCTCCCTCCCGCAGCCGGGCACAGGGCGGGCTCGGGCAGCCTTCGGCCTGGGCTCAGTCCACGCATCTCGGGCACCATCACAGAACATTGCTCTGCCAGGGAAAGGGTGGGCAGAGACAAAGGGTGGGGAGGAGGAGGGGGAAGGGATCATGGGCACAGGGAAATAGAGAAGAGAAAGAGATTAATGACACCACCCTCCAAGGCTCAGGGCTGCTTCCCAGGCCTGGCCAATAAACTGACACACAAGCAGAGCTTGGTAAAAGACGCTAAAATCAGCAGTATCGACTGTAGACTAGTCTAGGTACCAGGCTCACTGGGTAGCAGAATGTAAGCAAAGCAGACTTCATTCTTACCGTGAAACTCTGATCTAGAGCAGAAGACAGAGGTCACGTGATTACAGTTGCTCCCCCTACTCACCACTGGACGACCTCCCGATAAACCCATTGTAAGGAGAAAATATTGGGAGTCAAATAGCGTTGAATGCCTAAGTTACTGACCACCACATTCTAGCAACACAGTACACTGTACAGAGCAACAGTTTTCCCACATGATTATGAGGCTGGAGACTGGCTCACCGCCACTGCCCAGAACCATAAGAGGAACATATCAAGAGCCCTGGGAAAGATCAAAATTCTAAACATGAAGTGCATTTTCAACTGAACATGTGTGACCTTCACACCATCACTCATGAGGGGCCATCACTATGTGCACAGGTGACAGACATTCCAGAACCTTCTGTAAGCAGAAGACATTATCTCAGGTAGACAGCAAAACAGTTGGATTAAAAGAGGCTTCCTCACCCCCTCTTCCAGTTTCCCAGCTCCTCTGATGTCCTGGCCACCTGCTGCTGTCTGCTTCCCCAGGCCAGCCACATAATGGGCATGTCCTGTGTCTGGGTCCTCCCCCCTCTTCTGATGCATGCATCTACCTGCTGTGGGATGTCTTTCTGTATGCTGTGAATATGTGTTGCTCTGATTGGTTGATTAAAAAAAAAAAAAGCTGCATTGGCCTATGGCAAGGCAACTTAGAGGCAGGTAGAAATCCAAGCAGATAGGAAGAGAATGGAGAGGCAGAGAGACGCCAGCCTGCCGCCCAAGGAACAACATACCAGCAGACCGGTAAAGCCATGGAACACATGACAAAACATAGATTAATAGAAATGGGTTCACTTAAGTTATAAGAGTTGGCTATCAAGAAGCCTGCCATAGACCATGCAATTGGTAATTAATATAAGCCTCTATATGTTTCTTTGGGTCTGAGTGGCTACAGGACTGGCAGGACACAGAAAAACTTCTGACTACATCCACCTCAAGACCCAGGGAGCTAGTACAGATCCAGATGCTCCAATGACTCCCCAAAGCCATATTCTCCTTTCCACACCAAGGAGAATATAGCCAGATTCACTTTGGAAAGAGTGGTTACCATGTGTCAAACCAAACCCAGTGCCAAGTACAGGGCATCCCAACATGAGCTTGATATGATCCACATCATACCCATGAGGACACAGGAGGAACACTGATTCTTGTCACATAGCATGATGTGCTGTGGCTGATGTAGGCCTGATGTCTGTAGGTGCTCTGAGGAGAGCCACCTTATGCATCTGGGGTAGCCAAGAGAGCTGTGTGGCAGACAGGACCCTGAAGCTTGGTATAGCTAGATGTCTCCAGTTAAGGGACAGGAGAGGAGGACAAAGAGGTTCATAGGTAACATAGTCAGCATATATGCACAGAGGAGGTTTCAAGGAACCCAGAGGATGTGGAAAATATTTTCTTTCATAAGCCTGAGGTCCCCATAGTCCTTCGGGCTTGAGAGGACCTCAGCTTTCCACCTGAAGATACTGCTGTCTATCTTTCAGCCAAGGACCCAACTCCTGAACTTTCAGCATCCTCCCCAAGTATATGTGCAGCCATACCCCAGTAGCCACGAGTGGTATGCACACATATCCCTTTGGTGGTAGGAACTGCCATATGCTCTGTGTACTCAGAGAAACCTTGGCATCCAGACCACTCAGCTAGTGTGGAATGAGGCCCCATTTCACACTGGGACACCCAGGGAAGCATCCTTTTAGAATGCTACCCACACCTGCCCCCTAGTTATCTTCTGCTTTCCCCAACATGAACTGCAAATCAGACTATAAACCAGAAAAGTGAAGAACATGAATGGTTATGAATTTCAATGTTCAACTGTATTATTTTATAGATGAGAAGGATAAGGTCCCAGAGGTTATTTTACAGATGAGAAGGATAAGGTCCTAGAGGTAGGAAGACCCACCCAGGGTCACACTGTCCATTATGTCAACTGGGGATAGACTCGGATTTCAAGTCTGAGCTCCCATTTTTTTCACCATATTGATCATAATGCTTGTGTTCCATGAAGCAGAATCCAGAAGCGCCACACCCATTGCCTCATCACTATGTTTACACAGCAATCATAAGAAAAAGCCCAGTTGACAGGATGACCTTAATGCCTATAAAAGAAACCCTGATGTGAGCTATACATAGACCCACACTTCCCAGAAGAGCCGGTTCTGGGGCAGCCCCTTCATTGCCTCCCTTCCTTCTCCATCATCTGCACTCATCTTTCCAGACATGGTACCCAAGCCTTCTGGGAGCTGAGCTGGGCACAAGCCAGCTCTGCACATTTGGCCCCCAAGGTTGAGTGAAGCCAGTGGGACGGGGGAGGGAAAAGGTGCAGGCTGAGCCTAATGAGGAGGAGAAATGAAGGAGAAAATATTTTTCAAATCCTGCCAACGGTTGGGTGGGTCCCTAGAAAGAGTGATTCATGCTCCTCACGTTGTCATTCTGTCTCAACTCCATTTGATAGGTTTTAAATTTATCCTTCATTCCTACAATGTTTAAATGTCTCTCCCCCACCCTGCACATGCATGCGCCCCTCCCCTGACAGCTCCCACTCCTTCTCCAGGCTTTAGCACTTCCAGCAATTCCAAGTATTCTTGGACTCTGGTCTGCGGTCTCCTCCTCCTCCTCCTCTCTAAGTCCATTGGAGCCAAGGCTCCCAGGCCACTAGCTCTCCCAAGGCAACCAGTAGCCAGGATCTGGCTCTGCGGGCTGGTTTCCCAGCCCATCCCCCTCCCCATCCTTCCTGGATTTCCCCTTCCCAGACACTTTGCCAATTTGAATCACATCTTTGCCAGAATTACAACAGCAGTAATATGCACGACAGAGCTCTGGCTTCAACAGAATCAATTTACAAATATCAAAACACGAAATTATCTCATCTCTCCTTAAGAATTCCTGTTAAGCAACCCTTCTATTATTGATGTAAATGCGCTTCAAGGGAATCTGTCGTCCCCACTGCTGCCGGGCTGGCCAGTGCTCTGGTCTTGCTATTGTCACACTCAGAGAATATCTTCCCTATCCGACAATTTATGAGAGACAGTGTGCATCTTCTAGGGAAGGGCATTTGACTCTACCCTATTCCTAGCCCTCCCCAGCCCCACTCCCAAATGCTGTCTCTCCTTGAGTATCTTGAGATGAAGAATTCTATCTTGTTTCTCTTTGTATATCAGTACCTAGTTCTGCGTTCAACATATACTAGGTGCTTAGATGGCCATCGGGGCTGCTTTCTCGCTACTCTGGAAATCCCTGACCCACAAGAACACGGCAGAAAAGCATTTTTTGGCTTCTAGTGGTTGAGTGGAACTGTATCATTGTTCTGGCCAGTGAATTGTGAATAGAAGTCGAGACAGTTTGAATGAGAACTGACCCTCAGGTCTCAGCTATTTGAATACTTGGTCCCACATTGATAGCCCTCTTTGGGGCATTTAGAGGTGTGGCATCGTTGGAGGAGGCATATTCCTGAGGGCAGGCTTTGAGAGTTTAAAGATATGCATCATTTCAAAGGTGTCCTCTCTGGTTTGTGTTTGTGGTTCAAGATAGGAACTCTTACCAGACATGGTGGTGCACACCTTTAATCCTAGCGCAGGCAGGAAGATCCCTGAGGCCAACCTGGTCTACAGAGCAAGTTCCAGGACAGCCAGGGCTACACAAATAAAGTCTTGAAAAACAAAAAAAAACAAAAAAACAAAAAAGATATAAACTCTCTACTTTTTCTTTTTTAAAAAAAATAGATTTATTTTTATCAGATAATATATTTTGATTATGGTTTCCCCTCCCCCTCGTCCTCCAAGTTCCTTCCCATATCACCTCCCATAGAAATTCACAAACAGGTGTCTAAGTAATAATGATACAGTAGGATAAAACAAAACCACACAAACTGTAGTTGGACCAAACAACCAAACAAGAAAAAGAGCCAAAGGAAAAGCACAAGACAATGCATATGGACACAGAGACACATGTGTTTGCACACACAAGAATCCCATAAAAACATAAAACCTGAAGCTATAATATATACACAAAGGACCTATAAGATTAAAAAGAAAGAAAAACAAACAAAAAAAAAGCTCTCACTTAACATTATAAGACAAAGACCACCAACAATGCTGTGGAGTCCATTTTCTGTCGGCCGTCTACTGCTTGCCATGGGGCCTACCCTTAAGAGTGGTTTGCTTTCCTAGAGAGACTCCTTTTGATTCCCAGCTCAAGCTGCTATCCACTCTTCCATGAAAGATTCTTAGCCTCTGGAACCACGAGCCCAAATACACTCTCTATTTTATACATTGCCTTGGCCACAGCAACAGGAAAGTGACCTGTATCACTTCAAAGCTAGGCAGTTAAATGTCAGTGCAGACTTCCTGGAGCAGGGATTGGCAAAGCATTCAAAGCCTTGCAGGCCATGCAGTCTCTGCTGCAACTAACTCAAACTCTGCTGTTACAGCACAAAAGCAACCTAGCATCTAACACACACATAAATGAACAATCACGACTGTGTTCTAATAAAACTTTATTCAGGGGCTAAAGAGATGGTTCAGTTGGTAAAGTGTCTGTGGAAGAAGAAAGAGGGCATACCTTTGGATCCTCAGCACCTTGGTAAAAACCCAGACACAGTGTACATACCTATAATCATAATGCTAGCAGAAATGGGAGAAGGTCCAGGGCTTGCTGGCCAGCCAGTGTGGACAGATTGGTGAGCTCTGAATTCAGTGAGCGACCCTGTCTCAAAAGGTAGGGCA